GTAGTCATCAGTCTCATTATAGGGGAAGGGCATTTAATGTAGCCTCTCCACCATTGCTTAGATTGTCAGTTGGTGTCATCCTTGTAGATCTCTGGGAATCTCCCCACTGCCAGATCTCTCCTTGAACCTATCATGGCTCCCTCTATTATGGTATCTCTCATCCTGCTCTCCTCTATTCTTCCTCTGACTCAACTTTCCTGTTCCACCATTTCCTCCTTTCCTGTCCTCTTCTCCCCCTCTCATTCTCTTAGCTCCCTGTTCCCTACCCTCATGCTCCCAGTTAGCTCAGCAGATCCCTCCCATTCCTCTTCTCCCGGGTCCATGCATTCTTCTTGTAGAGTCCTTGTTTCCTAGTTCCTTTGGTAATGTGGAATTGTAGGCTGGTAATCCTTTGCTCTATGTCTAAAATTCATATATGAGTGAGTACATACCATGTTTGTCTTTTTGTGACGGGGTTACCTCACTCAGGATGCTTTCTTCTAGTTCCATCCATTTGCCTCCTAATTTCAAGATTCAATTATTTTTTCCACTGAGTAGTACTCCATTGTGTAAATTTACCACATTTTCTCTATCCATTCTTCAGCTGAGGGGCATCTAGGTTGCTTCCAGGTTTCAGCTATTACAAACAACGCTGCTATGAACATAGTTGAATGTATGTCCTTGTTGTGTGAATGTACATTCTTTGGATATATGCCCAAGAGAGGAATTGCTGGATCTTGAGGTAGACTGATGCCCATTTTCCTGAGAAACTGCCATACTGATTTCCAAAGTAGTATTACAGGTTTGCACTCCCACCAGCAATGGAGGAGTGTTCCTTTTTCTCCACATCCTCTCTGGCAAAGACTATCATTGGTACTACTTTTGTGTTAGTACCAAGCTGTTTTCATGACTATGGCTCTTTAATAGAGCTTGAAGTCAGGGATGGTGATGCCTCCAGAAGTTCCTTTATTGTACAAGGTTGTTTTTGGCTATCCTGGGTTTTTTGTTTTTCCATATAAAGTTGAGTATTGTTATTTCAAGGTCTGTGAAGAGCTGTGTTGGGATTTTGATGGGGATTGCATTGAATCTGTAGATTGCTTTTGGCAAGATTGCCATTTTTACTCTATTGATCCTACCTGTCCAAGAACATGAGAGATCTTTCCATTTTCTGGTATCTTCTTCAGTTTATTCCTTTAAAGACTTAAGGTTCTTACTGTACAGGTCTTTCACTTTTTTGGCTAGCATTACCCCAAGATATTTTATGTTGTTTGTAGCTATTGTGAAGGGCGATGTTTCTGTGATTTCTTTCTCATTGTGTTTATCATCTGTATATAGTAGGGCTACTAAACTAATTTTTTTAGTTAATTTTGTATTCTGCTACTTTGCTGAAGGTGTTTATCAGCTGTGGGAATTCCCTGGTAGAGTTTTTGGGGTCATTTATGTAGATTATCATATTATCTGCAAATAGTGAAAGTTTGACTTCTTCCTTTCCGATTTGTATCTCCTTTTGTTATCTAATTGCTCTAGCTAGAACTTCATGTACAATATTGAAGAGGTATGGAATATCTTCTGTAAGTTCCTTCCCTCCTGGCTCAGGGAAACCTTCAGAAGAGAAGGTGCAAACATTATCAGAGCCAGAGAAAGTGGAAAACTCTGAGGAAAAAGACCTTCTAATCATAGTAAGAATGCTGTACATAGGAAGCTTCAAAGACTCTAGAAGGATGCACAGGGCCAGGACCACACTGAGACAGATGGGTGCCAGCATTGAGAGGGGAAGAGGACACCAGCCCCTTCTTTAATTCAAAAGTTATCTCTACGCTATCATAAGTTCCCATCCCTAACCTAGCTGCAAATACAAAAATTAGTTTTCTTTAAGGGTATACAGGCAATTCTTTAGGGCAGGTCCCATGCTCAATAGTAGATGGAAAACAAGAAAAATAAACTCCGTGGCATGTTTGGAGGTGAATTCTTGAATATTGCATGGCTTTTGTGTACAATTATGGTTTCTGAGTTTTGATTTTTATGGTTTCCTGTGTATGGAAACATAAGTGTCTATATCTATATGCTTCTTGTACTTTTTCTTTTGGCTCTTTGTTAGTTTGTCTGGCTTCTTTGTTTTTATTTTAATTTATTATTAATTTTAGATACCTGTTTGGTCTCTAATAAGAGGGAGGAAGAGCAGGAGTGGACTTGGGTGGGAGCAGAGGTGGGGAGGACCTGGAAGGAGATCGTGGAACAAAATGAACTAGAATATACCACATGAAAAATAAATCTACTTTCAATTTCTAAAATGAGAAAATGAAATAGTTGCTTATATTCCCTTGCCAGCAAGTGCTAGGAAGACACATCAACATGGATTTTTGGAAACAGAAGCATCCAAATTGTGAAAGCCATTGCACTAAACATGCGCTTCTGTTATGATTTGTGTGGTATGAGTCTTCCTTATAAATATTGTTCTACCTTCTGTGCAGGTTTAAGCTGAGGAACTACCAATGTATTTTGGCCATGATGTTTGCCATTGAGGAGATCAACAACAATCCTTATCTTTTACCCAACACATCCCTGGGATTCGAGGTCTACAATGTCCCGCATGATCAAAGGCACACTCTGGCCAATGTTTTTGTCTCATTTTCAGGCACTGGCTATGGCATCAGTAACTACAGATGTGCAAGCGAAAGCACGCCAGTTGCTGTTCTCACGGGCCCATCATGGGCTCTATCTGAACACATAGGGACACTGCTGGGTCTTTACAAATTCCCACAGGTGAGAGAGGATGATGAGATCGGACATGATGTCAGCTCTGCTTGGTGACATTTCAGCTGTCTGTGAGGAAAAGGGGGAACCTTGAGGAACTCTTCATCGATAGGGAAGTGATGCAGACAGAGTTGATGATGCATCTGTATTTTTGTACCTTAGAACAGATAGAAGGGGAAGAATGAGGCATAGACACCAGGGTTTTCTGCATCAGGGTGTTCGATCACATTGGGAACCTTAAATTTCTGTTTGCACTAACTAAATAAAATCAACCTTGGTTCAGGGGGTGAAGCTTGCAACTAGTTAACTGGAATTAGCCAGAGAGATTCCGGATGATCCAGGAATACAGATAGAGAGATGCCTAGGAAAGGATAGGGCAGAACTTGGCGTTTGGTGCTTTCTTTCTGGTTTGGTATGAGGGAAGAGACGTGTCTCTTGCTACATGTCTTTAGCCACAGGCATATCTGTGGCTAAAAAGGAAGGTCAGCTGCTTGTTTCTTGGCCTCTCTGATCTAACAGGTTTTCGTCCCTGCACCTGACTTCTGAGTCTTTGTTGGTAAATAGAACAATAGATAGTTATTTTAAACCTACATAAAGCAGCCATAGCAAAGCCAGACCTTGGGACCTGAAGTTCTTCAGGCTGCATCCTGGGTGGCTGTTGAGGTGCTGACTGTGGGAAGCACCCCAATGGGGTGGGGTGAGGGACTGCAGGCTGTAATATAAATGTCAGCAGATTCAGGTGTCTCTGCTAAGGCAAAAGAAAATCATCAGTCTACTTTTCTGACAAATCCATAGGGAGACAGATTTGACCTTCAAAGCAGGATTGTCTAAAGGCTTCAAACCATCTCTGGAGAACTGAGTGGAGTTTTATGACAATGTACTTGTTTCTGGTTGTTTTTCCCTACAGCTTACATTTGGGCCTTTTGACAGCGCCCTGAGTGAACGAAGACGGTTTTCTTCCCTGTACCAGGTGGCCCCCAAGGACACATCTCTGACAGTTGGCATTGGATCTTTGATGGTCCATTTCCATTGGAACTGGGTCGGACTGTTCATCATGGATGATGACAAAGGTGCCCAGATTCTGTCAGATTTGAGAAGCGAGCTGGAGAAAATTGGAGTCTGCATAGCATTTGTGGAAATGACCCTGGTCAGCAGGGGTTCTTTTCTCACCACATCCTGGAAAAATCAGGTGCAGATCCTGAAATCCTCAGCCAATGTGATTATTATTTATGGGGACACCGATTCTCTATTGAGCTTAATAGTAAATCTAAAGCAGAAGTTACTTATGTGGAAAGTCTGGGTCCTGAACTCACACTGGGACTATTCCAGCTTTGATAACTATTTGCTGTTGGATGCATTGCATGGAGCCCTTATTTTTTCACACCATAATGAGAAGATTATCAATTTCACAAACTTTATACAGACAGCCAATCCTTCCAAATACCCAGAAGACACTTATCTTCATGTATTGTGGCATTCATTCTTCAATTGCTCATTTTTGAGGAGAGATTGTAAAATTGCGGATAACTGTCTGCCGAATGCCTCCTTGGAGTTCTTGCCAGGGAATATATTTGACATGGCCACAAGTGAAGAGAGTTACAATGTGTACAGTGCGGTGTATGATGTGGCCAAAAGTCTGCATGAGATGACTCTCCAACAAGTACAATTGCAAACTCCTGGAAAAGGAAAAGACACGGTGTTCTTCCCCTGGCAGGTAACCCCACTTCTGTAGTATTATAACATCAAGAGCATGAAACTCTGAGGGTTTACAAATGCACTAAAACTAGGAAATTCATAGTTTAGAGCTTTTTTTTTCCAAAAATTTACAGGAGAGACAATGCAAGGAGGAATCTGTTTTAAGTCACTGTATAGTTAGTTGTATTTCAAAGGTAATACAATTCTTTCAAGGGTAAAAAAAATCAATATAAAAGTCCATCTAAAATAAACAATTAACCATTGAGCCAAGCTTCTGGAGGACAACTGAAGCAAGGGAGGAGCACTAACATGAAAAAGGAGTCAAGACCGTCATGGGGAAACCCAGAGAATCAGCTGACCCAAGCTAGTGAGAAATCACAGACTCAGGTTTAACTAATAGGGAGCCTGCATAAGACCAAAGTAGACTCCCTTAATTTAGGTGACAATGGGGTGACTGGGACAATATATGAGGCCACTGGTAGTGGGTCCCAAATCTAACTCTAATGCACAAACTGGCCTAGTGGAGCCCACTCTATGTGGAGAGACACCTTCCTCAGCCTAGACACAGGGGTGGGAGGGCGGACAGGGGCCTGGGACAGCCTCAATGAGATGATGGGACAGACTTAGTAGACTTCCTAGGGGAGGACTGACCCTCTCTGAGGAGCAGAGGGGAGGTGGGGGGAAGTGGGGAGGGGGAGGAGAGAAGGGAAGCATACTGGGATTGGAATGAAAAAAATTAATTAATAAGAATAGTCCATTTACCCCGGAGATTTCATACAACAGAAAAGGCAGAGACAGACAATTATCACAATGAACTTGAACACTTCTAAAATGCTTGTGTCTTATAAATGGACACTATAAAATCATTCATTTTACATAACGAAACTAAATAATTTCAAACTTAATTGTGTATGTCTGTATTTTCAAAGAAGGTGAGAGATTTTCCCATGCACAATTATTATTTAGGGAGACTTGGTTCTAAGTTATCTAATGGGACTGTTTGGAATATTTTAGAACATAACGATGCTTCCATCATCCTTGGGTATCGTTTGATTAATGTGATATATTAAGGGTGCTTTTCACATCACGATTAAAGTCAAGAAGAGATGTTCCCTAATTCTGACTCTGTTGTACTTCTCTGGAGTTTATGTAACATAAAAGCATGCATCTCTTTTAGCTTCACCCTTTTCTAAAGAACACACAGATCATCAGTCACGATGGAGACAAGGAGGTTCTGGATTGGAAAAGGAAATCACATGCAGACTATGACATCCTCAACTTTTGGAATTTCCCCAAAGGTCTTGGGCTAAATGTGAAAGTAGGAACATTTTCTCCAAATGCTCCAGACGGCCAGAAATTGTCCTTATCATCTCACATGATACAGTGGTCCACAGGATTGACAGAGGTGGGTTGCATCTTACATCAATATTTTGACATGTATGTAAATTTCAAAAATATATTTCTGTGTGTCATGACCATTCATTACTCACAGAGGTCTATTCATAGACACATAATGACCAAGAATATAAAGAATTGACTTACATTTTGGTTTGAGGAATTTGTAGAGAAACTACTGGAGGGGAAAGCCTGAGCCTCAGACCCAGAGCAGGGTCAGAGGAAGCCTGAGTCACAGACCCAGGAACAGGGAGTGACCACTGGCTGAGATGACAGCAGCAGTTTCCATAAGCAGTTGTAGAGAAGGAGAAGTGGTGAGCAAAGGGGTCAAGACCAGGCTGGAGAAATCCACAGAAATATCTAACCTGAGCAAGTGGGAGCTCATGGACCCCAGGCAGACAGCTGGGGAACCAGCATAGGAATGAACCAGGCATCCTGAATGTGGGTGTCACTTAGGACTCCTGGACAATCTATGGGGTCTCTGGCAGTGGAACCAGTATTTATCCCTAGTGCAAGAATGGACTTTGGGAACCCATTCCCCATGGAGGGACACTCTCTCAGCCTAGATACATGGAGGAGGGCCTAGGGCCTGCAATAAATGATGTGACAGACATTGATGATCCCCCATGGAAGGCCTAACCCTCCTTGGGGCGGGGATGGGTGTGGGATGGGGGGAGTCAGTGTGGTTATGGAATGACAGGAGGGAGAGGAAAATGAGACTGATATGTAAAATAAGATTGTTTCTAATTTAAATAAAATTTTGTAATATATATTTTAAAAAATGGAGAAAAAGACAAAGAAAAAATGGGAAGAAATAGACAAATCCCTTAAAGAAAACAAAGAAAAAGCTATCAAACAAGTGAAAGAAACAAATGAAGACTTGAAATCTGAAATAGAGGCAATAACAAAAACAAAAACCAAGGAAATTATGGAAATGGAAAATCTTGGTAAACAATCAGGAACCACAAATGCAAGCATAAACATAATAAAAGAGATGGAAGAGTGAGTTTCAGGCATTGAAAATATCATAGAGGAAATAGATTTATCAGTCAAAAAATGTTAACTACAACAAATCTTTAACAAAAAAATGCAGGAAATCTGGGACACCATGAAAAGACTAAACCTAAGAATAATAGGGAGAGAAGAAGAAGTCCAACTCAAAGGCACAGTAAATATTTTCAACGAAATCATAGAAGAAAACTTTCCCAACCTAAAGAAGGATGTGCCTATGAAAGTACAAGAAGCTTACAGAACACCAAGTACACTGGACCAAAAAAAGTACCTTACTATGTAATAATCAAAACAATAAACATAGAAAATAATGAAAGAATAGTAAGGGCTGCAAGGGAGAAAGGCCAGGTAACATACAAAGGCAGACCTATCAGAATTACATGTGACTTCTCAATGGAAACAAGGAAAGCCAGAAGGTCCTGGACAGATATTATGCAGACACTAAAGAGCCATGGATGCCAGCCCAGACTACTTTAACCAGCAAAGCTTTCAATAGCCATGAATGTAGAAAACAAGATATTCCATGACAAAACCAAATTTAAACAATTCCTATCCACAAACCCGCCCTACAGAAGCTATTAGAAGGAAAATGTCAACCTAAGAGGTCAGCTCCATCCACAAGAACCCAAGCAACAGTTGAGCTTACAGCAGCAAATCCCAAAGTAGAGAATTGAACACAGAATGCCATCACGAACAACAAAAACAAAAATAACAAAAACTAGCAAACACTGGTCATTAATATCCATTAATATAAATGGTCTTGATTCACTTTTAAAAGGGCATAGGCTAACAGATGGCTATGAAAACAGAATCCATCCCTCTGCTGCATAAAAGAAGCACACCTGAACCTCACAGAGGAAAGCGTTGGGAAAAAATTTAAAACCAAACGGACCTAAGAAACAATCTGGTGTAGCTATCTATCCTAATATCTAACAAAATAGACTTCAAACTAAAACCAGTCACAATGGATAAAAAAGGACATTTCATATTCATCCCAGGGAAAATCCATCAATAGGAAATCTCAGTTCAGAACACCTATGCCTCAAACACAGAAGCACCCACATTTGCAAAAGAATCATTAATAAAGCTCAAATCACATCAAAACTCCAAAAACTAATATTGGGGGACTTCAACACCCCACTCTTACCACTGGACAGGTCTGCCAGACAGAAGCTTAACAGAGAGACAAGGGAACTTAAAGATGTTATGACTCAAATGGACTTAGCAGACACCTATAGAATATCCCACCCAAATACAAAACAACATTCTTTGCTTTTCAGCATTTCTTGCAACCTTCTCAAAAACAGACCACATACTCATTAACAAAACAAAAATCAACAGACAGAAAAAAAATGGAATAACCATAACTGCTTCCAGTTTCTGGCTATTACAAATAGTGCTGCTATGAACATCTTTGAACAGATGTCCTTGTTATATGAATGTGCTTCTTTTGGGTATATGCCTAGGAGTGGAATTGCTGGATCTTGTGGTAGACTCATTCCCATTTTCTTGAAGAGTTGCCATACTGATTTCCAAAGTGGCTGTACAAGTTAGCACTCCCACCAGCAGTGGAGAAGTGTTCCTCTTTCTCCATG